GTTCTAATAGTTATTTTTCTGTTGTCATGATTCTATTTATTATTCAATTTAGTTCTATTATAGTTAAAATTTAGGTTAGATTTGTATTTTGCCTTATGGCTATTCACAACTAGGCCATGTAGTTTATTTACTATTACTACTTTCCTGCATATTTTTTTTTTTTTTTTTTTTTTTGAGATGAAGTCTCGCTCTGTTGCCCAAGCTGGAATGCAGTGGCACCATCTCGGCTCACTACAACCTCCGCCTCCAGGTTAAAGCAATTCTTCCGTCTCAGCCTCCCTAGTAGCTGAGACTTCAGGCACACGCAGCCAAGCCCGGCTAATTTTTTTTTGTATTTTAGTGGAGACAGGGTTCACCGTGTTGCCTAGGCTGGTTGCCAACTCCTGAGCTCAGGCAGTCCGCCCACCTCGGCCTCCCTAAGTGTTGGGATTACAGGCGTGAGCCATCATGCCCGGCCTCCTGCATAACTTTTTAAATGGAGTTTTTCATTTCTTTTTTGTACTTGCCACTGATTTGTCCCCATATTCTCCTTCTTTTAGGCCAGCTTCCTTTTAGTTTGTTCAGACACTTTGAGCATTTTCTTAGAGATATCTTCATGTTCCGTTAGGATTGGTTTACTCTCCAGGTTTGCTGCACACCTCTTGGGTTGATGCATCTTTTCATTGTCATATTGTGTGTTAATTTCCTGACTTCTTTCTTGATTTGTCACCTTTAAATGCTTTTCTGAGAAAATGTGTGTGAGAGGTAAATTTCTTGAGAACCTTTCATATCTCTTGTCCTATACTCCATTGATAGGTTGATTGGGTACAGAATTCTAGATTGGGAATGATTTTTCCTTAGGACTAGGAAGGCATTGACCCATTGTTTTCTGTGTTCCATATGTTAAGAAATGTAATGCTATTCCAATTTTTTTTTAATATATCCGTTCCTTCTCACCTTCAACCCAGACCTATTAGGATCTTCTCTTTACAATGTTTTGAAAATTTCCCAATGTTGTGTCTTGAGTGAGTTACCTATTGTGCTGGGCAGTTTGGAATTTTATGTATGCAAAGTCAAGTTCCTTAGTTCTGGAAAATATTCTTGCATCATATATGCAAGATATTAAGAGGGGAAAGAGGATGGAAATCCCAACCCTTTTTTTCCTGAAAAGTAGTTATTTGGATGGTAAACTTCCTGAATTTATCTCCTAATGGTCATATATTTACTCTTCTATTTTGTATCTTCTTCCTTCTCTGAGATGTCCTAAACTTTATTTTCTAATCTATTTAAAATAGCTTCTTCTATATTTTTAATGTCCAGAGGGGTTGGGGTTTTTTGTTGCTGACTATTCCTTTATGTCTTTCATATTAAAGACTTTCTCAAATTCTTGGTGGTCTACTCCTCTTTTAGAGTGGGACCCTAGGCTTGGTACAGTGGCTCACACCTGTAATCCCTGTACTTTGGGAGGTGGAGGCAGGCAGATCACTTGAGGCCAGGAGTTCAAGACCAGCCTTGCCAACATGGCAAAACCCTGTCTCTACTAAAAATAGAAAAATTAGCTGGGTATGGTGGTGCACACCTGTAATCCCAGCTACTGGGGAGGCTGAGGCATAAGAATCACTTGAACCCAAGAGGCGGAGGGTGCAGTGAGCAGCGATCATGCCACTGCACTCCAACCTGGGTGACAGCAAGACTGTCTCAAAAAAAAAAAAAAAAAGTGGGACCCTAAAAAGCTAATTGAAAGGTCTGTCTGTAGGGGGCAAATGGGGATTAATGATGTGTGTTTCAATCTACCGTGATCTGGCTGGCTGTTATATTGGGAAATCCACAATACTGATATTTTTAGATTTTTTTTTTCTTTTACGTAGGTAAGATTCCCTTGAGAAGGCTTGTATATTCTCTTACTCAAGGATGTAAGCCAGGCAATCAACTAACTGTGGAGGAGGGAAAGAAGTTTTACAGGGTCAACTTTCAGTGGATAAAACTTAATCCCTCCATTTTCAGTAAGGTGTCCAAGCTTTTAATTGTGCCTCATGATCTCCAGTTCACATACTATGCATTTATCCTCTTGTATCTTGTACTAGCTTTGGGGAGGGACAGTTCCTTGGTTATATAGAAAGGAAAAGGATACAGTGATCCATTTACTTTTTATGCAGTCTTTAAACCTATCCCTTTTAGCCCCATTCTTACCTCCACCTTCAGTTACCTGGTGTCACCAGTTCAACTTGAGCTTTTTGAGCGTTCTGTGATGTTAACTCTGCTTTCTATTGGTAGTTTTGGGATTCATCTTCATTAACTTTTATCTAAAGGCTTTCTACTTTCCAAAATGTGTCTCATACTTTGTTCTCTTGGGTTCTTTTAAATGTTGGTATCCTTTACTATAAAAATATTTTAGTAAGCCTTCAGAAGGGAATAGAGGCTATTTCCTTATATTCTAACTGGTAATCTGCTGGAATCTGCAAATCTTTTTTTTTTTTTTAGGCTAAAAAGACTCCATCAGACACAGGAATTTTGCAGGTCTTCCTCTTTTTCATATTCTTTGTTTTCAGCACACAGTGAGGAAACAAGAGAAAATGGGATAAATGATTTTAAAACTTACTTTTATTTTTATTGTTATACCAGGCCCTGTGGCTGACTTCTATAATCCCAGCGACTTGAGATGCTGAGGTAGGAGGATCACTTGAGCCCTGGAGTTCAAGACTGCAATTGAGCTAAGACTGCCCAATTGCACTCCAGCCTGGGTGACAGCAATACACCGTTTGCAAAAACAACAAACTTTTAAAAAATTATGTGAAGACTAATCTGTGATGTCATGATTCAAAACTATACACATAAGCATTTTAAGAATTTTTTCCTTGATTTTTGTTCTTCACTTTGCTTCTTTAAAATAAATGTGTTTTGTTTTGTTTTGTTTTTGAGACGGAGTCTTGCTCTGTCACCCAGGCTGGAGTGCAGTGGCTCCATCTAGGCTCACTGCAACCTCCACTTGCTTGGTAGCTGCCATTACAGGTACCCGCCATCATGCCCAACTAATTTTTGTATTTTTAGTAGAGACGGGGTTTTGCCATGTTGGCCAGGCTGGTCTTGAACTCCTTACTTCAGGTGATCCACCCCCCTCAGCCTCCTAAAGTGCTGGGATTACAGGTGTGAGCCACGGCGTCTGGCCTTGAGTAACATTTTATACTTGTTTTACTTTGTTACTATTATAGTAGTTATGCTGAGTGCCTGTATTCGGCCCAGTCTTAAGGACTACACACACACACACACACACACACACACGCTAAATATATATATATATATATATATATATATATATATATATATATATGTATGTATGTATTTTTTTCCTACAGAATCATGCTGTTGCCTAGGCTAGAGTGCAATAGTAGCATCATAGCTATCATAGCTCGTTAACGTCTAACTCCCAGACTGAAACTCCTCAGCCTCCCAAGTAGCTAGGGCTACAGTAACACACCACGAAGCCCAGCTAATTCCTTTTTTTTTTTTTTTTTGAGACGGAGTTTTGCTCTTGTTGCCCAGGCTGAGTGCAATGGCGCCATCTCGGCTTATCGCAACCTCCGCCTGCCGGATTCAAGCGATTCTCCTGCTTCACCCTCCCGAGTAGGTGGATTACAGGTGTGCACCAACACGCCGATCTAGTTTTTTGTATTTTTAGTAGAGATGTGGTTTCACTGTGTTGGCCAGGTTGGTCCTGGCTTCAAGCCATTCTCCTGCCTTGCCTTCCCAAAGTGCTGGAATGACAGGCAGGAGCCACTGCGCCGGCCAGTACTGGAGAACGTATGGAGATTATCTTGCCTGTGCCTCGAGCTCCGGTCTAGTTTACCGTCAGGGAATACCTATTTCAGTTCTTCCTATTTTGTTCTCGAGTCTTGTTTCCTCAGAATTTACTTCCTGTACGCCGCTTTTAAATTTGCATTGTAAAATTTACCTTGGCTCTCCCCGCCTGTAAGAATGAAAGTCTGTAGAACTAAGCTAAGCAGATGGTCTTCCTCCAAAAAGGCTGGGCTGAACTTTGGTTTTGGAGCCGGTGCACAGAAAAAAGCAAAATCGGTTATCCCGACTTGACCTCAAGTTCCAAAATAAACTGCTTCCTTTCTCTGGAAAACTTCCCACGCCACACACACAACGTGTGTCGTCATTCCGATGCCTCTGGCTCCCTACCGGGAGTTGCTCTCAGCAGCTGCTGCTAGTTTCTCGGCTCCCACACCAGGGGTACCGCACGCTGAAGTTTACAAAGCACTCTGCAGCACCCCCTGACCGTGATCTTCACAGTCCTGTCGCAGGCTGGTGGCCTCAAGCAGGTGGCGGTGCCGCCTCTCAGATCCAGTGCGGCCAGGAGCGACGCCCGCAGCCCCGCCTGGCAGCGCAGCGCGGTCGGTCGCGCGCTCCCTCGGCGTGCAGGCCTCGGCTCCGCCCAGCAGTGCTCGAGCACGGCCCAGCCGAGCCGCACACACCGGATGCCACTTCATATTTGGGCCCAGAGCTCAATTCGCGCCGACGCGGTCCGCCGTCCTTAAATCTCTTCAGCCAGGATCTCTCCCCGACTGCAAAGCAACCCTAGGCGGGAGCGGCAACCTCTCACCATCAGTCTTTAAGAGCAGCCGAGCCCCAGAGGGGCGGGACACGTTAAAGCGCGCTGTCCTGCTTTACGGCACGGGTGCGCGCGTTTGCGGCAGCAAGTTTTGGCGGGAAAAACGCTGCATCTGGGTTCCTGCACTAGTGGGCAAAGGACAGCCCGGTGACGAAGGGCGGCCGGTAGGGTAGGAAAAGATTCTAAAGAAGGAGTTCGCGGTCTAGATTAGTGAGACGGGCAAGGTGGGAGAAAGTTAGCATTGACTAGCGCAGGGGATTGGAGAAACTCCTGCGGAGGGGCGGTTTTGTAGGGTGGAGAAATGTGGTACCCGGAGGTTCCCGTTGTCCGGGTGGGGGGAGTAGGCGGGGAGAAGGGACTAACCCGCTGCTGGCTAGGAACCCCTGGAGTTTAGGCGCCGTCCTTCTGGGTCCCAGCCTTTATTCCTCCTCTAGGGGCAGTCTGGCCCCGCCCCGGCGTCTGGGACGGGTGGGGTGTGGATGGGGATGGGAATTGTAACTGAGCAATTGGGTGGAGGCGCTACCGCGGCGTCTTCTGCCCTGTTCCGCCGCCTATATCCCCTTACTCTTTTCCGCAGACCCCCACCTCTCCTACCGCTTTCGCCAGTCGTTCACCAGAAAGCATGTGTCCACTACTTCTTCACCGCAACGGTTAATTTCCTCTAGGCTTGAGGGCAGAATTTCAACCTGGGGTGTGCGTGGCATGAAAAGCGATTGTGATTTACACGACAAAATGCCCACGTTTAGAATAGTTGCTCGTGGTTGAAAGACTTGGATAAATGTGGATGAGATATAAGGGGAAGGCAAGAGCTGTTATTGCTCGTGGGGAATCCTGGGGAGAGGCGGGACGCAGAGGCTTCACAGGTGGTTTTACGCTAGCCTTCCGTCTTTTCTGGATTCCTGCCTTTTACAGCCGAGGTGCTCCGTGGAATCATGGCAGTGCCCTTTGTGGAAGACTGGGACTTGGTGCAAACCCTGGGAGAAGGTGCCTATGGAGAGTGAGTTTGAGTTCTTTTACCTTGCCTTTGTTTTCTGTCTGCATATTCACCGTTTTGGAGTCTAATACTCTGGTGACTTGGTGAGTAGATGTTTTAGATCCAAGGCTTTTGGCAACTATAGTTACACAGTGGTTTGCTAGGATTAATATTTTTTTCTCCCCCCCCCCTTTTTTTTTTTTTAAAGTTTTCTTTGTAAAGAGCTGGAAGGGACACGAAGTTATTGTTTCCGTGCCCACAAATTGTTTCTCAGGGTTTAAGCTTTGTGGTTAATTGAGCAAATGAGCAGACCCCGGAGATTGCCTGCTTGGTTTCAGATCCTTGCTCTATCACAAACTGGTCGTTGTTTTGTGATCTTAGGCAAGCTTTCTAATGTCACTGTGTATTTACCCTTTGCCATCTTTAGGATGGCAATAATAGTATCTGCCCCATAGATGCTTAGAACAGTCCATTACACAGGCACATATAGTATGGGATTAATATTCTTAAAAGTATATGAGTAGAACATATAAATGTGTGATGTGGCTTAGAATTACCTCAATCTATTTTATGAAGTGTTTATTAAATGACTTGTGTGACAGCATAAGGACGTCTTTGGAGTGTTAGATATTGTATTTCACATTTCAAAAAGGAGTAGTGTCTGTTGCGAACATAGCAGAAACCATTTTCTTGGTTTCTCCCTTGTGGAGAAATTAATAAAGGTAAAATAGTTTTAGATGGGTCATGTATAACCTTTGGAAGTTTTAGAAGAAATGGAATTTTGTAATGTTAAAACTCTTTTCCTTTTTAGAGTTCAACTTGCTGTGAATAGAATAACTGAAGAAGCAGTCGCAGTGAAGATTGTAGATATGAAGCGTGCTGTAGACTGTCCCGAAAATATTAAGAAAGAGATCTGTATCAATAAAATGCTAAATCACGAAAACGTTGTAAAATTCTATGGTCACCGGAGAGAAGGCAATATCCAGTATTTATTTCTGGAGTACTGTAGTGGAGGAGAGCTTTTTGACAGAATAGGTATGGAAAAAAATTTAAGATAATTATTCTAAACAAGTTTTTAAATTTGTTTTTTAAATCTTGGGTATGCTGTTAGGTCATTGGCCTTTCAGAATTGCTCATGCAACGGTGAAATTGGAATAAATTATTTTTAAAGAATTTTTCAAACTGGTATTAATAATAAAAGCATATTTAGAGTCAATGAAAGAAAACTCCTTTCCCAAGTTATTTAAGTGATTTTGATTAAGATTGGTGTCTTAAACAATTTAAGAGTGACAAACTGTAGTTTTTATGGCACATCATAAATGCACTGTATCCTAAATGTAACGTATTGCCTATACAATTTTTTTCTTTGTAGATATTTTAGTTACATGAAATCATTGTATGTATTTACAGATCTAAAATCATAGCATGTTGTTTCCTTCTGGTTTACATGAAATAATTGAGAATTTTCTAGGATTGCTTTTTGTATGTTAAGTAAATTCTGTGTTTGCTATTAATACATAATCTTTGTAGAATTAAAGGATTGATATTACAGAACAGTGAGAAGTACATAAAATAAATCTGTGGATCTAAATTTATAATTTAAAGCTATTGTATTAACAATTAAAAACTGATACAGGTAATAGGATCTGCAGCGTGACTCGGGAGAATTGAGGGTAAAAGAAATGGAGTTAATGAGAGAGATCAAAGTATAAAAAACTGATAAAAGAACTTTTATAATAAAACTGTGTTTCATGAATGACTTCACAGGCATTAGTGGCTTTGTAGTGTGAGACTATATGATGTTTAAATCTGAGCCAGGTGTGGTGGTACATGCCTGTAATCCTAGCTACTGAGGAGGCTGAGGCAGAAGGATCGCTTGAGCTCAAGAGTTCCAGGTTACAGTGAGTTGTGATCTCACGCAAGGGCACTCCCGCCTTCCAGCCTGGGTGAAAGAGCGAGACCTTATCTCTTTAAAAAAAGTTAAATAATGAAAAGTATAATCTGTAAAAATATTTAGTGTAATTGGCTTAGATTTGCCCAGACCTCCCTTGGCATATTTCAGGAATGAAAAAAATATTAGCATAGCGTTTAGAAGAAAAAGGGGAGAATTTAAAGGATACTAAATAAAGCAGTGTTAGTATAAGAGGAAGCAGGGGCCTTAGAAGAGGGGCTTTTAAGGCATGGCTTGCATTCTTGATCTGGACGTTGGTTTTCTCTTTATATTTTTCCTGTGATATTAGTTTTGCCATCTAAGGTGGATGTGTGAGTTAAACCCTGTATCTGCTAGTGGACTTCTGAATTGTTTGTTGGCATTTGATTTTGTTTGCTTAAGTACATTCATAATGTCTAAGCTTCAAATTAAGAGGCTATATGGTTACTACCTGATTATATTTATTCAGTAAACTAACTTTCATAATTGTTTTAGAGCCAGACATAGGCATGCCGGAACAAGATGCTCAGAGGTTCTTCCATCAACTCATGGCAGGGGTGGTAGGTATAGTTGTCTCTTTCCCTTTTACTTAAAATTAGTAAGAGTAAATTACATTACCAAATTCTGGTGTGTTTCTTTCTGCCTCCCTCTTAGGTTTATCTGCATGGTATTGGAATAACTCACAGGGATATTAAACCAGAAAATCTTCTATTGGATGAAAGGGGTAAGTTTAACATTTTGTCACTGGTATCTAAATTATTTTATTATACAAGTAAAATCAAGTCTTTTGCGTTACTGGAATTTCAAGACAAAATCTGAAAAATCAAGGAAATTTTGGAGACTTAGTATATTTGGAAATCCCAAGTCTCATTATGCAATACAATTGCAAATAAAGTAGAGAAATCTGACTTAGGTGCAAGGCTAGCTCACTTTATGTATAAGAATATAAGGGTCTCACTCTGTTGCCCAGTCTGGAATGCACTCTATGATCCTGGCTCACTGCAGTCTTGACCTCCCAGGCTCAAGTGATCCTACCACTTCAGCTTCCCGAGTAGCTAGGACCAACCACAGGCAGGTGCCACCATGCCTGGCTAATTTTTAATTTTTTGTAGAGATGGGGATTTTCCTTTGTTGCCCAGGCTAGTCTTGAACTCCTGGACTCAAGCTATTTACTGGCCTTAGCCTCCCAAAGTGTTGACATTAGAGGTGTGCGCTATCGTGCCTGGCCAAGAACAGTTTAAAATAATTCTTCAATGGATTAATAAAGGGAAGTTCCTATGGAATACCCTGGACCTTAGTCTTGTCCTTTTCACTCTTTTTTATGTATGACTTGGATAAATACATAAGACATTTAGTTATATTTTATGGGTGCCATCAAATTGACAAGGATGGATAGTGAAGGCTTTAACTTGTACGATCAGAATCAAAATAGAAATGTCAACTATGAGGCAGTAGCCTGGTTTAATGCTTTTATTCTTAGTATTAGAACAGTGATTGACAAATGGTCGGCTTTTTTTTTTTTTTTTTTTTTTTTTAAACAGAGTCTTGCTCTATTGCTCAGGCTGGAGTGTAGTGGCATGATCTCGGCTCACTGCAACCTCTCCCTCCGTGGTTCTGGTGATTCTCGTGCCTTAGCCGCCTGAGTAGCTGGGATTACAAGCCCAAGCCACCATACCCAGCTGATTTTTATATTTTTAGTGGAGATGGGGGTTTTATCATATTGGCCAGGCTGATCTCGAGCTCCTAGCCTCAAGTGATCTGCCTGACTTGGCCTCCCAAAGTGCTGGGATTATAGGCATGAACCACCACACCCAGCCAATAACATGCTTTTTTCTTATATGCATGTGGATTTTACTTTTTACCCCTTTAAATTGAGTTTATATAACATAAAAATATTTATTTTTGCCGGGCATGGAAGCTCACGCCTGTAATTCCAGCACTTTGGGAGGCTCAGGTGGGCGGAGCTTGAGGTCAGGAGTTTGAGACAAGCCTGACCAGCATGGTGAAACCCTGTCTCTACTAAAAATACAAAAATCAGTTGGGCGTGGTAGTGCGCGCCTGTAGTCCTAGCCACTCAGGAGGCTGAGGCAGGAGCATCACTTGGGAGACGGAGGTTGCAATGAGCAGAGATTGCGCCACTGCACTCCAGCCTGGGTGACAGAGCAAGGCTCTGTCTCAAAAAAAAAATCTTTATTTTTATTTAAAACTTTAGAAATGCAGGTACACAAAAATTATATATAATATAAAGAAATGTAAATAGACATGTATCAATTCACCTGGTTTAAAAATAGAACATTATTCATATATAAGAATGCTCAGTGGTAGTGGTTTTAATATAAGAGAAAACTGTAAATAACCCAAATGTCTATCAGTAAATTATGAAATGGATGGCTTATAGCTATAAGCAGTGGCATGGATGAATTTCAGGTATGTAATGTTATAGAGCAAAAAGGGACAGTTGCAAAAGAGTTTATATGTCTGATTCTACTTATACAAAGTTCAAAAATATGTAAATCTAGTATACTGTTCAGGGATGTAAACCTGGAGAAAAAAAATCACACAGAAAAGCAAGGGCATAATAAAACCAAATTGAGAATAGTGGTTACCTCTAAGAAGGTGGGGGAGGGAGTGTATTTAAGGAAGTATTTACAGATTTCGAAGGACATAGAACATTGTTTTACCAAAGTGAGTGACTGTTTATTACATTGTTATTTTTTAGATCTTGTATTAACATACAAGATATAGTTAATATTTTGTTTCTATTTAGTATTTAGTAATCTTTTTAAAAAAAGAAATAAAATGTTACCAGTGTTTAACATCCTTCTGTTTATTTAAAGCTTTAAACATTCAGATACACAAAAATTCTTCGATAAAATATTATAATGAAATGTAAATAGACATGTATCAACCCTCCTGTTTATTTCATCACAAATATGTTTTCTTTCTTTTTCTAAGAGCTAATCACATTTCTAAATTTAACTTTTATTATGTGCAGTTCTCTAACATAACTATTATGTTGCAGACATAACAAAGTCCAAGGAATATTACAGTTACTCATTAGTATTTTAAGTGGTTACTACTCATAAGTAATTTGGAACTCAATCTTGGTGGTTTGTCCAGATAGTGTCATAAATAGCTGTTAAAAAGATAATCAGCTGGGTGCGGTAGCCCATGCCTATAATCCCAGCACTTCATGAGGCTGAGGCAGGAAGATGGCTTGGTCCTAGGAGTTTGAGATCAATCTGGACAATATAGACCCTGTCTTTATGAAAAATTAAAGGAAACATTAGCTAGGCATGGTGGTACATACCTGGAATCCCAGCCACTTGAGAGGCTGAAGCAGGAGGATTGATTACTTCAACCTAGGAGGTCAAGGCTACAGTAAGCCATGATCACACCCTACACTCCAGCCTTGGCAACAGAGTGAGACCATTCTGAAAAGAAAAGAAAAGAAAAGAAAAGAAAAGAAAAGAAAAGAAAAAGGTAATCACATTAGCTACCTTCTAAGTCAGATAGAGGTAAACATTTCAATGGTTTACATGTTGTGTGAATGTACTTGATTTTTAAAGAATGAGTCTCCTATTTTGAGTTTGTTTATAACTTAAAAAATAAAATAGGACAGTGATGACTTTTATAAATTTATGTAAAGGGTCAATAAAAAATTGGGTCATGCTATACCATTTTTTATGCCATTAGCTTTTTTGTCCTACTTATACACTATTTCATGTCAGTACGTATAGATATACCTTATTTTTTTCAAAACATACCTCCCATGTTTTCCATTGTACAATGTATTATAGGATTTAATCATTTATTTACAAATATTGCTATGAATATTCTTGTTTTTGAATTTGTGGGATTATTCTTATGGATATAGAAGTGGGAATTGCTAGTTCAAAGAGTGAATATTTCACATTTTAGTGTATTTTGCCAAAATGCCTTCTGAGAATAGAGGGCTTTTTCTAACTCTTAGGACTGGGTTAGATTCTGTAGTGCTTTGCTTTAAGATCCTGTGGTGGTGTATATTTTTATAATCTTCATAACAGTTTTCTATTGTCAGTCTTCACTGATTTATCTGCTACCTGCATTGGCTGGCATAGTGTCTGTCACTAAGTTGCAGTAGATACTCACTAAATATAAGTTAAGTCCTGCCTGCAATTTGTGTGTATTAAAGATGGGAAGTTAGGGTGGAGGTTTGGTTTTCTGTTTTGTTTTTTTTTTTGTAGAGTTTTTCCTCTTTTTCTCAGACTCCCTACTTTGAAGAAAAAAACAGTATTGTGATTTGTTGAATTTTGGTTGGTCTTAAGATATTTTCTTCTGCTAACTGGGTTTGTTTGCTGCTGAGAAAGTTGTGCCTAACATATTGCTGAGGTTACCTTCCTGCCCTTCACCCTACCTGATGAAGGGCTTGGCTTTGTTTTCAGCTCAAGCTTAAAGTGCTGTTTTCCAGAAGGGCAGCCCCTCTGACTCCACCTTCTTGCTTTAATACGGTCCAGACTGTTTTGCATGTTGATGATACTACTTTTAAGTTAATAGAAGAGATGAGGCCATTTTCTGCTTTTAGCATAGATGATGATAGATTTTATTTTTTTAGATTTCTTTGTGTTTATTTTGCTTATTTGAAGTTCTACAAACTTTAAGTAACATTAGTGATTTTTTTCTCAATAAAACTCATTCCTGCAAGTATATCTATTTGCAAAACATTTCTATTCAGTGCCATCTTTTTTTCTTTTGGTTTAGATAACCTCAAAATCTCTGACTTTGGCTTGGCAACAGTGTTCCGGTATAATAATCGTGAGCGTTTGTTGAACAAGATGTGTGGTACTTTACCATATGTTGCTCCAGAACTTCTGAAGAGAAGAGAATTTCATGCAGAACCAGTTGATGTTTGGTCCTGTGGAATAGTACTTACTGCAATGCTTGCTGGAGGTAAGAGCTGTTTAATCATGGTAAAACTCCTGTCCTATGAAAAGTCAGATTAGTTATTCTGAAATAAATGAAATAAACCAAGGAATTCATATTTATATAATAGTTTTTTGTTTTCTTTTTTAAGAGAGACAGTCTCACTCTGTTTCCCAAACTGGAATACAGTGAGCTATTATAATTCACTGCAGCCTCAAGCTTCTGGGCTCACCAGTCCTCTGGCCTCACTATTTCAAGTAGCTAGGACCACAGGTGCCTGCCACAAGACGTCTGGCTAAGTTTTAAAAATTTTTTGTAGAGTTAGGGTCTTGCTGTGTTGTCCAGGCTGATCTCAAACACCTGGCCTCAAGCAAGCCTTCTGTCTTCACCTCCCAAACTGTTAGGAGTAAAGGCGTGAGCCATGGCACTCAGCTTCTGTAATAGCATTTTAATAGTGTCTTGATCAGATTGTGCTGCTGTAACAAAGTATCATAGACTGCATACCTTAGAAACATCAAATTTATTTCTCACAGTTCTGGAGATTGAAAGTATGATATTAGGGGTACCAGCCTGGTCATGTTTCAGTAAGGGTCCTCTTCCTGATTTGCAGATAGCTGTCTTACTGTATGCTCACTTGGTGGGCAGCCAAGAGAGCTGAAGCAAGCCCTCTAGTTTTTTTGTTTGTTTGTTTGTTTCTTTGAGACCAGAGTCTTGCTCTGTCACCCAGGTTGGAGTGCAGTAGTGTGATCTCAGCTCACTGCAACCTCTGCCTCCTGGGTCTGGCGATCCTCCTGCTCCAGCCTCCCGGCTGGGATTACAGGCAAGTGCCATCATGCCCAGCTAATTTTTGTATTTTGAATATAGACAGAGTTTCACCATGTTGTTGTCCAGACTGGTCTCAAACTCCTGACCTCAAGTGATCTGCTCACCTCAGCCTCCCAAAGTACTGTGTTGGGTGTGTGTGTGTGTCTGTGTCTGTTGACCAGATCTTGTGAGACATTGTGTCTGAGTTTTTTTTGTTTTGTTTTGTTTTTTTGAGACAGGCTCTCACTCTGTTGCCCACTCTGGAGTGCAGTGGCACAATTCAAGGCTCACTGCAGCCTTGACCTCCCAAGCTCAAGCAATCTTCCCACCTCAGTCCCCTAAGTATCTGGGACTGCAGGCGTGCACCACCATACCTGGCTAATTTTTTGTGTTCTTTTAGAGACAGTCTTCCCATGTTACCCTGGCTGGTCTTAAACTCCTGGACTCAAATGATATGCCTACCTTGGCCTCCCAAAGTGCTGGAATTATATAATTAGTACCCTATAAAAACACAATATTGGCTGGACACATGAGCCTTTATTAGATACTAATAAGGTCTTAATAAGGGCACTAATACCATTTTTTGAGGGATGCCATTCTCAGGACCTAATCACCACTCAAAGGCCCCACCTCCAAATGCCATTGCATTGTGAGTTAGGATTTCAACATGACTTTTGAGGGGGACACAAATGTTTAGTACATTGCAAGTAGTAACTTATTTATACTCCCAAAGATTTTTTAAGATGAGGCATGCATACTTACTAAATATCACAATACTTTTCTATGAATCACGTAAACACTTTTGAAAACAAGGCTAGGACAGGAAGTGATTCATCTTTTTTTTAATTTTATTTTTTGAGACAAAGTCTTGCTCTGTTGCCCAGGCTGCAGTGCAGTGGTATGAGTTTTGATCTCTCAGCCTCAAGTGATCCTCTCATCTTAGCCTCCTGAGGAGCCAGGACTGCAGATGCATGCCATCACACCAAGCTAATTTTGTTTATTTTTTGTAGAGATGGGTTCTCACTATGTTTCCCAGGCCGATCTCAAATTCCTGGGCTCAAGCAATCCATCTGCCTCAGCCTCCCAAAGTGCTGGAATTACAGTCCTGAGCTACCATGCCTGTCCTGATTCATCTATCTTTGAAGTATCTCTAAACTTTGCAAGTTGGGATTCTTAGTTTGAAAACCATATTGAATTAATTCAAAGAAACTTTTCATGGATTTATATTATTATTTTTCCTTGAAATCTTTATAAATAAGAACATTCAAAAAAATGAACTTGCTTTGTTTTTAGAATTGCCATGGGACCAACCCAGTGACAGCTGTCAGGAATATTCTGACTGGAAAGAAAAAAAAACATACCTCAACCCTTGGAAAAAACTCGATTCTGCTCCTCTAGGTAACTGGATTATCTTGAGTGAAAGTATTGATTTCTTGGATATAAAGTCTAATGCTATTTGAATTTTTTCTTATTTTTTTTCTTTTAAATTTATGTCATGATTTTTATAAATTATTAATTATAAATAAAAATTAAGGAAAAAATAATTCTTTAGTCCCAGAACTCTGCAATAGATTTTAAAAAATATTTTGGGGAGTGTATATTTAGAGCAACTTGAATCTATGCTTTTAGGTGGTTTTCTATTTAAAAATAAATGTTTGATATGTGCTATATTTTGTTGCAAATACAGTCATTTGTTGCCTAATTACAGGGATATACTCTAACGAATGTGTCATTAGGTGATTTCATCATTGTGTGAACATCATAGAGTATACTTACATGAACCTAGGTAGTATAGCTTACCATAAATCTGAGGTATAATGGTACAGCCTATTGATCCCAGGCTGCAAACCTGTACAGCATGTTACTAAGTTACTAAGTACTGTAAGGAATTGTAACATAATGGTATTCGTGTATCTAAACAGAAAAAGTATAGTAAAAATACAGTATTATAATCTAGTGGGACTGTTATACATGTGGTACATTGTTGACTGAAGCATTAATGTGGCCTATGACTATGTGTAATGAATATATGTATACTATTTATATGTGTATACAAAATGAGATCACACTAATTTGTAAACGTTTTTGGTCTTAGTGCTCTGTGAACATTTTTCCATGACAATAATTGTAGGTCTACATCATTGTTTTAAAGGCTGTGATGATATTCTGCCATGTGGATATGCCTTACTATATTCTTCTAATCACTTTGTTGGAGATTTTTCTAATCTTCACAGATATAAAAGAGATAGGATAAGTATCTCTGTAACTTAATCATGGTACATACCCTTAAATTGTTTATTGAAATCCCCAGAAGCAAAATTGCAGGATCAACGATGTAGTTTTTATTATTATGGCTTATATTGTCAAATTGCTTCCTGAAATTTCAAACCATTTTATCACAGTCTCATCAATTTACTTTAAGGAAAAAAAACTAATAGGCCTATAAATGATAGTTTTTTATTTTAAATGTAATATTAATGAAGTTGTATACCCTTTATGTATTAGTTTTTTGTCTATTTTGCTTATTTTTGTCAAGGATATTATTTTTTTCTTATCACTTTGAAGTTTTCTTTTCTTTTTTCTTTTCTTTTTTTAACATATTGACCTCTGCATTTGTTACAAATATTTTTCACAATTTATCTTTTATTTTCATTTTGTTTTGCTATATTGACATTCAAAGCTATTATCTTGTCCTTTATGGTCTCTGACTATATTATCACTGGAAAGGTCTTCTACCTCTAGCATTTAGAAGTTCCCTAGGTTTTCATTTAGTGTTTTTATGGCTTCATTTTTACATTTAAAAATCTTTGGTCCATTAGGAAATAATTTTGATTTAGACAGCTATATGATTTTTTTCTCAAGAAAATCAAGATACCTTAGGATGGTTAGTTAGATTACTGTCTCTTAAAAAGTTATTGGTAAGTAAATGTTATTTATAAAACTGTGAATAAAGTCATAATGAGAACATGACATTGAAGTAATGAAATTCAATATTGAAAATGGATAAAAGAGGTTTCTGTATCTTTTTGTTAATCTTGTCACATGAGGAGAAACGTTTCCATCTGGCCCTTGTTCTCAGTGGCAAACAACTGAGAATCATATCAATGAAAACTTCCAAGACACAGACAACTGCATGAAATTAAAGCCGTAATTTAGTAGCTTTAATTATTTCTCTTTTCCAGAAATAATATTTAGTAAGTAAACCAACAGAAAATGTGTTTCTTACCACAAGCCATAGGCTTCTCTAATCTCTGTGACTGTTTTCGTGAATGTTGTCTAAATGTTTGTTTTTAGCTCTGCTGCATAAAATCCTAGTTGAGAATCCATCAGCAAGAATTACCATTCCAGACATCAAAAAAGATAGATGGTATAATAAACTCCTCAAGAAAGGTAATATCCTTAAACTACAAATTTGTTTATTTTTCTGTGGAAGAAAAGCTAATTGCAAAGTCATTGTCACAAGTCAACAACACAAGATAGGTATGGTCTCTGTCCTCATAGAGATTATAATGTCTAGTAGGAAAAACATATAAAAATAATTTTATTAATAATTATAAAGGAGAAAGTCAGGGTACCATAGCTAAATGTTTGACCAAGTCGTAAGGGATAGGGAAGAATTTTATTCCTGAAGAAATGACATTAAATCTAAGATTTGAAGATTAAAGGGAAGCTTGCCAGGCAAGGTAAGTGGCAGATTTAATTCTGAACAGGGGAAGCAGTATTTGAAAAATCTTTGGTTTTAGAAAGTCTAGTGCATTTGAGTAACTTGAAAGATCAGTATGGCACAAGCCATGTCTGTTGTGTTTATCATTATATCACCAGTGCTTAGCACAGTATGTGGTGTGCCATAGCCACTCATTAAATATTTATTGAGTGAATTGAGTAAACAGGGAAGTGGGAGAGGAAGAGAGGTTTGAGATGAGGCCGGAGAGATGGCTAGTGGTCAGTTTGTGGAAGAACACCTTGTAAGCTATGTTAAAGATTTTGGGCGTTAACTTAAAACCATATTTTGAGCTTCAACTAAAGACCATTGGGGAGAGACATTTGAGAGATTTTAAGCAAGAATATGACATAGTTATGTCTTTGGTTTTAAAACATCTCTCTGACTTCTGCTTTTTTCTTCCATTGTTTTTTATGAATAGGGAAAGATTCAGGACCTTCTGCTAGTTGTCTAGATATGGGAAGATGGTGGTTTGGAGTAGGTTAGGGCAACGGTATTGCAGAAATGAGATGATTCCAAATAAATTTAAAAACTAGTATTGATAGGACTGTTAGGCTGTGAATGTGAGGAGAGAGGACAATGACTAGAGATGATGAATGAGAAACATTCTGAGAGTTATTAAAGAATTAATGTTTAACTCTGTCCTCATGATCGGAAAAGAGTAAATGTTTAAACATTAGCTCTCTTTAATACTTCTCTGCATTTTTCTTTTTCCTTGTTCTAACCTAAAGTCCAATTCTCCCCTAAGGATACAGCTTCCTCCGAAGTGGTAGGTGTTTTCTTTCCCATACCCTCAAGTCTTTTGATCTGGACATGGCACAGGTGTCCTCCTTATTCTTCATTGTCACTTTCTCGCATCTTCCTGTATCTCTCTCCCTTCTAACTTTTGAACCTCAAATTAAAACATCTGCTGTACTATCACGGCAGACGTGACTCTTGATGTAATTTTTGTCATGATTCTTGGATATTTAAATATTTATTTGGATCATCCTGATATCATGACTTCACTGTTACTTGACCTTCTCTCCTATAGTGATATTGTCTTTGAACACTCTGCACTGATCAACAGTATGATTTTTTTCGGACTTCCTCCCTTAATATTCTGACTTCAACAATCCTTTGACTCTAGCTGGACTTGTAGTTAATTCATTCTATCTCTTAAGTCTCTTACCTGCTCCCTCTCTAGGTCCTTGATTCTGTCTTCACCTATCTTAAATCTTTAGGTTAGTCATTATAAATGGCTGCTTTGTATTCATCATCTTCAACTTCCTTGTCCCCTTGTCTTTTCAGCATACTTAGTGGGTAAAACCCAGTAAGTAGTTTCTGGGTTTAATCTAGTTTTCTATGTACTCCACACTTATATCTGCATAACGGATTGCAGCAGGAGAAAAATACCCAAAAACATTCACTTTAAATTCAGGATTACTAATCTCAAGAGGTCCCCGAATGCTGCCTAGCCTTTGGGCTTCATTTCCCCATGTCTTTCACTATCCTGTTATCTTAAATCACCCTAATTCCCCGTTTTTTTGTTTTGTTTTGTTTTGTTTTAAAGACAGAGATTTGCATTCACCCAGGCTGTAGTACAATGGTACCATCTCGGCTCACTTCATCCTCTGCCTCTCAGTTCAAGTGATTCTTGTGCCTTACCCGTCTGAGTAGCTGGGCCATGCTGGCCAGGCTGGTCTCAGCCTCAGCCTCCGAAAGTGCTGGGTTTATAGGTGTGCCTGGCCACCGTGCCTGGCCCCTTAACTTTTATTATCTCCTTCCCCATTCTCTCTCTCAGTTGTTCACTGTGCTTCCCATATCACTGGGAAATAGAAGCAGCCACAGGAGAACTTATGCAGGCTCCCACCACCATCTCCCCCTAACTAACTGCCTCTAAGCTCATAATATTCTCCTTTGTCCTATATTGCTGTGGATAAATTGCTACAGGTGTTAAGCCAGGTTTTTCTCTTACCTACTCAAGGACTTTGTCTAGCAATTTTTCTGTCTCCCACGTTATTAATTTTTCCTTCTCGATTGGATCTTTCTCATCAGCATACCTACATGCTTTTTCTCCCGTTTTAAAATCAAATCATAATGGTAATAAAATTCTTTTCTCTACCAGTCCATTTTCTTCACAATTGAACATTTCTAAAATTGCTTCTCATTTCTAACACTTCAAAACTAGTTTTGAATTTTTGTTACCAAGTCATAATGATTTTTGGAACATGTTGCCAAGTTCAATGTAATAGTCTACCCTTACCTATGGTCACCTGAGGTCTGAGAAAAAAAAAGAAAAATTCCAGAAGTAAACAGTTCATAGATTGATTTTATTTATTTATTTAATTTGAGACAGGGTCTCGCTCTGTCACTCAGACTGGAGTGCAGTGGCATGGTCTTGGCTTACTTCAACCTCTACTTGCTGGTCTTAAATGATCCTCCCATCTCAGCCTCCCAAGTAGCTGGGACTATAGGTGTGAGCCATTATGCCCAGCTAATTTTTGTATTTTTGGTAGAGATGAGGTCTCGCCATGTTGCTCAGCCTAGTCTCAAACTCCTGGATTCAAGCAATTGACCCACCTCAGTCTCCCGAAGTACTGGGATTATTGGCATGAGCCACAGTGCCCTACCATAGGTTTTAAATTGTGTGCTGTTCTGAGTAGCATGATAAAATCTTGTGCTGTCCTGCTTCATTTCACCTGGGATGTGAATCATTCCTTTTTCTAGTGTATTCACGTTCTATGTGTTACCTGCTTGTAACTCATTTAGTAGCTATTTTGATTATTAGATTAAAATTGACTATTAGATCGAAAGAACATATATAGGGTTTGGTACGATTCATACTTTCAGGCATCCACTTGAACATATCCTCTGTGGATAAGGGGGGACTACTGTAAACAGTTCTCAGACATCTTGTTTTATCTCGTCAGTATTTTATACAGTTGATCATGCCCTCCTCTAAACACTTTCTTCATTTGGCTTCCAGGTATTACATTCTTCTGATTTTTGTCCTTCTCACTGGTTGCTCCTTTTCAGTCTCTTTTGATGGTTTTCTTTCATCTGCTCAGCCTCCTAATACTGGAGTTCTCCAGGGCCGAATCTATGGATCTCCTTTGTTTTCTCCACACTCACTCCCTTAGTAATATTATTTGGTTTTGTGGTGCTAAAAAAAACTATATGTTGATAGTCACATTTATGTCAACCTAGACCTTTCCTCTGAATTCCGAACTTGTATGTCTTAACTGCCTTCTCAGATTTCGCTTGAATATTAAGAAGCATCTCAAACTTGATAAGTTCCAAACTGAGTTACTGATCTTTTCCTTTCAAACCTATTCCTTTTCTAAGTTTTGCCCATGTTGGTTAACAGCAACTGCATTATTCTTGTTATGCAGATCAGAAACCTTGAGTCATCCTTCATTTTTCTCATTCTCTTTTGCTTGACATCCAGTCCACCAGGTAATTGTTAACCTCTGTCTTAAAAAAAGTTGTAGAATCTGATTACCTTTTTTCACCTCTGCTGCTACCCTGTCATTCCAAACTACTATTACATCTTTCCAGAGTGTTCTGATTTAAAAATAAATTAGAATATCTCACCGTTCTACCCAAATCCTCCAATGCTTTAGTTCTCACCAATAGTATAAGCTAAAATCAGTTCATGACCTGTGAGTTCTTACTCAATTTTGTCCCATAATTACCTCTCCAACCTCACTTCTGCTTTGCCCTCCCTTGGTCATAGCTATAGTGGTCTTCTCATTGTTCTCTAAATACTCTATGCACACCTCTACCTCACTGTTTTTGTAATGAATGTTCCCTATGCCTGGAAATGCTTTTTCCCATGGGACTTATTTGCATGTCTTATTTTGGGTATTGACTTCAGTGTCACCTTTTCAATAAGCCTTTCCTGGCCATGCTATTTAAAACTGTATCCCCTTCTCTCTAATATATTTCTTAATTTTTAAAATTTTTACTATCTCGTGGACATATGCAGTCCAACACATTTCTTCATTTTATTTTCCTCCATCGTACTTACCACCATTTAGCTTACTGATTTTTAATTTTGTTTGAATTTATTTTATGTTATTTTGTCTCTCCTCAATAGAATATAGGATTTAAGAGGTAAAGGGTTTTTTTCTGTTTTGCTCACTGCTGAATACCTAATACCTAGAATAATGCCTGGCACAGAGTAGATCTAATAAAATATTGGAATGAATGGATTAATAAATAAAAAGCAGGTTTTAAAAAAAATTTAGCATGTTTAAGTGGTTTGGGTACAGATCCTGTAGAGAGGAAGAAGCTGACAGTCTAAGAGACAGGGAATAAATAACAGAGGATCGAGGTCCCTCAGGAGGTAGAAGGGTGTGGGCTCCGAAGCACGAATAGAGAGATGAACGTTCCATAGGAGAATGGAAGGAATGAAAGGATGTATAGTAATACATGTAACTTAGCAGATTTGCTGCAGACAAGTTGATGTAGTTTCTGTCTAGTGGCTTTATTTTCTCTCTGAAATGGGAAGTGGTAGTATAGGTGCTGGACAGTAGTCTCGGAAATTACAGAAAAGTGTAGTTTTGAAATGATCCTTGTGGTGAAAAGGAAAGAAGACTAGAGAAACAAATAGAATTATCTGGCAATATTGAGGTTTGGCTAGGGATTGTAACCATAAATTTATAGTGGTGTCATTTTACGTATAATCTTCATTGTAAAGCTTTTCCCGGGAATCAAAGAATGTTGGCTAGAGCAGATTCATAATAGTTATTGTTATTATCATAAATTTTTTTTTTATTTTAAAAAGTTCTAGTCCTTTAGCCAGATCTGTCGTTTTCATGGTACGTTTTTCTGTTACCCGCAAAAGATGCCATTAAGATTGTGGCCTGAGCATACTCCACACTTGGAACACGCCTACAGGTCATACTTAGGTATTGTGAAATAACCTAATTTGACAAGTGAATATTAATAACTTGACCACATTTTTTATAAAGTCGTATAGGAAGACTTTGTTTTATATCTTATAAATATTTTGTGTTAAATAGATTTAGACAGAGTTTTAATTCAAGTTACCAGTTGGGTTAATTTAAAAACATATTTGCATAGAAGACTTGAAAAGCATTTGTATTTTTTTCTATTTTAGGGGCAAAAACGCCCCGAGTCACTTCAGGTGGTATGTCAGAGTCTCCTGGTGGCTTCTCTAAGCACATTCAATCCAATTTGGACTTCTCTCCAGTAAACAGTGCTTCTAGGTAAGACTGATAAAGATTAAGTCGTTTTTGATTGTAGCACTCTCATGAAGAATAATACGTACATGTATTTTTTTATGATAATCAACATTAATGGACATAATACTGTGTGAGAGCATTTGTGTGATATAAGAAAGGCATGATAGATTTTATTTTATTAAATGTATATTTCCTTCTGTCTTAATGCCTCAGTGAAGAAAATGTGAAGTACTCCAGTTCTCAGCCAGAACCACGCACAGGTCTTTCCTTATGGGATACCAGTCCTTCATACATTGATAAATTGGTACAAGGGATCAGCTTTTCCCAGCCCACATGTCCTGATCATATGCTTCTGAATAGTCAGTTACTTGGCACCCCAGGATCTTCACAGGTGAGGGAATTTAATTGTTTAAATAAATAATGGCAGCTGTTTATTTTTTATTGTCTTAAAGTCCTTTTTTATTGTAAAAATCTTAAGATATATAACTTGTAAATCACATGTATTTTTTTGCTTAAAGAAGAAAGGGGAGGGAGGCCTTAATGCAAAAGAATTTTAAGACTAAATGGCTATGATATTACTGTCTTTAGTCATAATGGATTTATTTAGTTGTCTTCTGTTTGATATATAGAACCCCTGGCAGCGGTTGGTCAAAAGAATGACACGATTCTTTACCAAATTGGATGCAGACAAATCTTATCAATGCCTGAAAGAGACTTGTGAGAAGTTGGGCTATCAGTGGAAGAAGAGTTGTATTAATCAGGTGTGTTTCATTGATTTTCATTATATCTTTTCCTGAAGAAAAATTTAAATAGGCTGGGCACAGTGGCTCACGCCTGTAATCCCAGCACTTTGGAGACTTTGGGAGGCTGAGGCAGGTGGATCACCTGAGGTCTGGAGTTTGAGATCAGCCTGACCAACATGAAGAAACCCCATCTCTAGTAAAAATACAGAAAATTAGCTGTATGTGGTGGCACATGCCTATAATCTCAGCTACTTGGAAGGCTGGGGCAGGAGAATCACTTGAACCTGGGAGGTGGAGGTTGCGGTGAGCTGAGATCACACCATTGTACTCCAGCCTGGGCAATAAGAGTGAGACTCTGTCTCACAAAAAAAAAAAAAAAAAAAAAAAAAAAATTAAATATTCAAGTAAAACCTCTCATTTGTATATTTTTAAAATACAAGCTGGGTATGGTGGCTTCCGCCTGTAATCCCAACTCTTTGGGAGGCCAGGGTGGGTGGATCACCTGAGGTCAGGAGTTCAAGACTAGCCTGGGCAACATGATGAAACCCCATCTCTGCTAAAAATACAAAAATTATCCGGCATGGTGCTATATGTCTCTAATCTCAGCTTCTGGGGAGGCTAAGGCAGGAGAATCACTTGAAACCCGTTAAGACAGAAGTTGCAGTGAGCCGAGATCACACCACTGCACTCCAGCCTGGGTGACAGAGTGAGATTCTGTCTCAAACAAACTTAAAAATATATAGTAATTAGTTAATTTGAAAAATAAACTAGTAAAATATTCTATACCTTAAGAAATAATATATATTTTTTTCTTTTAAGTTTTTTTTCTGAGCCACTAGGCCTGGCCTAAGAAATAATATTTCTTAAAAGACCTTTTTATTGTTATTAAAAATATTAGGCAGCTGGAATCATTATATTCTTTAAAACTATATATACTTAAACTGTAGACAGTAACAGTTGACTGCCTACCATGAAAGTCAAATACATTAGCAGTCCGATACTTTTTCCCATCTCCCTTTATTGCAGCTGTCAAATTTTATTGTTTGTATTATTAGAACATAGTTAAATATTGGTATTCTAAACTGTCTTTAAAGCTTTTCAGAAAAATGTTAACGTCATGAAAGACAAATAGGCCAGCTGTTTTATATTGAAGGAGGCTAAAGAGGTCTCCTGATAACTAAGTGCAATGCATGATCTTTCACTAGATCATGTATTTGAAAAAAAAAAAAAAAAAAAAAAACAGATATTGTTAGAACAATTGGGGAAATTTGAATGTGGACTGTATGTTAGGTAATGTTTTTGTATGAGCATCAGATTTCTTGGGTGTGATAATACTGTGTTTTGTAGGAGAATGTCCTTGTTCAAAAGAGAAACGTATTGAAGGAAAGTTTAAGTGAAGTGATATCTTCATTCAGTTTAAACTTTAAATGAAAGAAGGGTAAACAGCTACATAAAGACAAATAAACACACACATATCTAGGTAGATAAGACCAATGAAGAGTATATGGTTATTTATTGTACTCTTCTTTCAGTTTTTCTTTAGATTTGAGTTTTCAGAATTAAAAAGGGAAACTATTACTGTGTAGAAATCTGAGGCCAGCCTGATATTCCTCTCACCTATAGGTGATTCACTCTTTTTCAGTTAGACTCATAGAGATAAAATTTGCATAATATAAAAATCATGAGTTTAACCATTTTCAAATGTACAATGCAGTGGTTTTTAATATATTCACAAGGTTGTACAATCACCACACCTGTCTAATTTCAGAACATTGCATCCACAGGGGGAAGAAAAAAAACAAACCTCTGTACCACCTAGCAGTCACTCCTTATTCTTTCTTCCTCCATTCCTGGGCAACCTTGAATCTACTTTCTGTCTTTAGGGATTGCCTTTTTCGAACATTTTTCATAAATGGAATCTTACAGCATGTAGTCCTTTGGGTCTGTCTACTTTCATTTAGCGTAATGTTTTCAAGGTTCATGGCATTGATCAGTACTTTATTCCTTTTTATTTTGGAGACAGAGTCTTGCTCTGTTGCCCAGGTTGGAGTGCAGTGGGGTGATCTTGGCTCACAGCAACCTCTGCTTCCCAGGTTCAAGCAGTTCTCCTGCCTCAGCCTCCCACACACCTGGCTAATTTTTTGTATTTTAGTAAAGACAGGTTTTCACCGTGTTGTCCAGGCTGGTCTCAGACTCCTGAGCTTAGGCAGTGTGCCCTCTTCAGCCTCCCAAAGTTGCTAGGATTGCAGGCGTGAGCCACTGCTCCCGGCTGTTCATTTTTATGCCTGAGTAATATTCCATTGTGTGTATGTACTACATTTTGTTTATCCATTCATCCATTGATGGACATTTGGGTTGTTTCTACTTTTTGGTCATTACGAATAATACTGCTATGAACAATCTTGTACAAGTTTTTGTGTGACCATAGGTTTTCCATTTCTTAGACATGTATGGAGGAGTAGAATTGCTGGAGCATATGGTAACTCTTCATTTAACTTTTTGAGAAACTGTGATGTGATTTTTCCAAAGCACCTGTACCATTTTACATTCCCATCAATAATGTATGAGGGTTCTAATTTCTCTTCATCCTTGCCAGCACTTACTGCCCCCCCTTCTACTATAACAATCCTAGCGTGTATGAAGTATTATCTCATTTTGCTTTTGATTTTCGTTTCTCTAATGACTAATGATCTTGAGCATATTCTTATATGCTTATTGGCCATTTCTTTATAACAGTATCTATTCAGATCTCTTGTCCATATTTTAACTGGATTCTTTTTATTGTTGTTAAGAGTTCTTTGTACATTCTGGACACCAGAACCTTGTAAGATACCTGATTTGCAAATATTTTCTCCGTTTCTATGGGAGAAAATTCCTCCATTCTTTCCGTTTTCTTATTAGTGTTCTTTGATGCACACAAGTTTTAAATTTTGATGAATTCCAATGGATCCGTAATTTTTGTTGCCTATGCTTTTAATGTCAAATTTGAGAAACTGTTACCTAATATAAGATTGTAAGGATTTATACTTTACGCTTTCTTTTAGATGTCCCAGCCTCCTAAGTAGCTGGGACTACAGACTTAAAGTTTAGCTCTTATATTTAGGTCTTTGTCCATTTTGAGTTAATATCTGTATGTGGTATGAGTTAGGGTCCAAATGCAAATGTCTGTACGTGAGTATTCAGTTTTTACAGCACCATTTGTTGAAGACGTCTTTTCCAATTGAATAGTCTTGGCACCTTTGTTGAAAATAATCGGTCATAAATGTGTGGGTTTATTTCTGGACTTTTTTTTTTCCTCCCCTGTGTACTCAGTTCGTTGTTTCTTAGATCTATATGTCTGTGCTGTGCCACTACCACACTGTTTTGATGACTGTAGCTTTGTAGTGAGTTCTGAAATTAGAAAGTATGAGTTGTCCAAGTTTGTTCTTTTTTTCAAGATGTTTTGGTTATTTGTGGCCCCTTGTTTTTCTGTCTTGACTTTTAGGATCATCTGATTTGTTTCTCTAAGAAAAAAATTTGAAATTTTAAAAGAGATTACATTGAATCTATAGATAAACTTGGGGAATATTTTCATTTTAGTACAGATTGAGTCTTCCTTATTCAAGGTCCTTGGGATAAAAAGTTTTGTGGATTTACCTTTGTTGGGATTTGGAATATTTGCATATACATAAAGAGATAACTTATGGATGGGACTCAAGATGAAGCATGAATTTTATTTATCCTTCTTATGCACCTTATACAAATAGCTGGAAGGCAATTTTATACAATGTTTTAAGTAATGTGCGTGAAACAAAGTGTGCATTGTACTGTCAGAAAGCAAACTTATCAGGTGTGAAATTTTTCATTCATGGCATCATGTCAGCACCCTAATAGTTTTGGAGTTTGGAACATTTTGGATTTCAGATTTTAGATTAAGGATGCTAAACCTTAATCTTCCAATCCAATAACATGGAACACTTTTTTATTTTTTAGGGTCTTTAATTTCTTTCAAGAATATTTTACAGTTTTCAGTGTTCACGTCTTGCACTTCCTAGGTTAAATGTAATCCCGTTTATTCTTTTTTTTTTATCCTGATGCTGATGTAAATGGAATGTTTTTTCAATTTTATTTTCAAATTGTTCATTGCTAGTATATTTGCAAATAAATTTTGCATATTGATCTTGTATCCTGAAATTTTGCTGAACTCATGTATTAACTCCAGTAGTTTTTTTTTTTTTTTTTTTTTGCAAAATCTTGGTTTCAGTTTATATATATATATATGAAGATTGTTTTTGATATATTAAAACAGTAAATTGTTTTACCTTTTTTTCTTCCGATCTGGATGCCTTTTAATTCTTTTTCTTGTTCAGTTGTCCTGGATAGGACTTCCAACATTATGTTGAACAGAAATAGTGAGAGTGGACATCTTCGTCTTGTTCTTGATCTTAGGGGAAAGTTTCGAGTCTTTCAGCATTAAGTATGATGTTAGCTGTGGGGTTTTTGTTTTTATGATGAAAGAGTATTAGATTTTGTCAGATGTTTTCTCCATCTGTTGAGATAATCATGTGGATTTTTTCCCCTTTATTAATATGGTATATTAATACCTTGCCCTCCTGTGCCCAAGTGATCCTCCCACCTCAGCCTCCTAAGTAGCTGAGACAACAGGTGTGCACTACATACCCAGCTTTTTAAAAATGTTTCTGTAGAGATGCATTCTGTCTGTGTTGAAAAGGCTGGCCTTGACCTTCTGGGCTCAAGTGATCCTCCGATAGTGGGGACTACTGGTGTGTACCACCATGCCCAGCTAAATTGACAATTTTCATCAGTCTATTTTGTCTAGTATCAGTATAGCCACACCAGTTCACCAGCTATCTTCTGTGTATTTTCTTTTGTTTAGATGGAGTCTCACTATGTTGCCCAGGCTAGAGTGTAGTGGTTATTTGTAGGCACAATTATAGTGCACCACAGCCTCAAACTCCTGGGCTCAAGTGACCTTCCTGCCTTGGCCTCCCAAGTAGGTGGGACTGTAGGTACATACCACCATACCCAGCTACCAACTCTCTTGGTTATTGTTTATACAGTCTGTTTTTTTTTTTTTTTCCTTTTCCTTTTAACCTGTTTGTGTCTTTGAATTTAAAATTCCTTAGCTAGGTGTCATGGCTCACACCTGTAATTCCAGCACTTTGGGAGGCTGAGGCAGGCAGATGACTTGAGGCCAAGAGTTCGAGACCAGCCTGGCCAACATGGTGAAACCCCATCTCTACTAAAAATATTTTAAAAAATTAGTTGGGCATTGTGGTGTATGCCTGTAAACCCAGCTACTGGGACGCTTTAGGTGGGAAGATAGCCTGAGCCCTGGGAGATTGAGGCTGCAGTGAGCCGTGATCTGATTGTGTGACTGCTCTCTAGCCTGAGCGACAGAGCAGGACTGTCTCAAAAAAAAAAAAAAATCGCTTCTCAACCTTTTGGCTAAGATCAAGTATAGTATCTGTTCCTATCCGTTTTAAGTGCCTTAATTTCTCTTCCACAGGGGTTTTACTGGATACAGAATTCTTACTAGCTTTCGTTTTTCAGCACTATGAATATGCCACTACTACCTTCTAGCCTTTGTGGTTTCTGATGAGAAATCAGCTGTTAATCTTACTGAGGATCTATCTTACGTGAGCCCTTGCTGCTCTCTTGCTGCTTCTAAGTTTCTCTGTTGATCACAGTTTGATTATGATGTATCTTGCAGTGGATTTCTTTGTTCATTCTATTTGGAGTTCACTGAGTCTCTTGGATGTGTAAATTAATGTTTTTAATCAAACTTGGGAAGTTTTTCGCCATTATTTCTTCAAATATTTTTTCTGTACCTAACTCTCCTCTCCCTCTTGGACTCATTATGTGTATTGTTGGTACACTTGATGTGCCACAGTTCTTAGACTGTTCACTTTCACTTTTCTTTATTCTTTCTTTATGTTCCTCAGGGACTGTTTTGGTTGCTATTTTTCCTTTGTATGGGCCATACTTTCTTGTTGCCTTATATGATTTGTAATGTTTTGTTGAAAACTGGACATATTGTGGCAATATGTGGATCTCTAGAAGTCAGATTTTCCCCTCTTACCAGAGTTTGTTACTGCTTGATGTAGTTGTTTGATTTTTTTAGTGATCTTTTTCTTTTTCTTTTTTGAGGTGGAGTTTCGCTCTTGTTGCCCAGGTTGGAGTACAGTGGCACGATTTCAGCTCATTGCAACCTCCACCTCTGGGTTCAGGTGATTCTCCTGCCTCATCCTCCCAAGTAGCTGGAATTACAGGCCCCTGCCACCATGCCTGGCTAATATTTTGTATTTTTACTAGAGACAGGGTTTCATCATGTTGGCCAGACTGATCTCGAACTCCTCACCTCAGGTGATCCACCGCCTCAGCCTCGCAAAGCTGGGATTACAGGCATGAGCCACCACGCCTGGCCTTGGTGATTTTTCTGATGTAATTTTTTAAAGTTGGTATTCTTTGTCATGCATGGCTGTGCACTTTCTGTCTCACTAGTTTTAGTGGTCAGCTAATGATTGGACAGAGATTTCCTTAAATTCCGTTTACCAAAAACAAAAAATCTGCATAGCAGTTCTGTATTTGTGTTGGGGCACACCTGCAATACTCAGCCAAGAAGTTTACAATGTTTTCTCAGCCTTCACTATCTGCTTGTGCAAAGTACAAAGTTAGGGCAGATGTAGAGCTTAGGGCCTTCTCAGCTTTTTCCTAAGCATGTGTACTCCCTTGGTCATGGGTGTGTCCTTTTAGATTCCCAGGTATATGCTGGACCTTTTCAAAAGTCATTATTCCTCAGAAAAATCTCATTCCCTAACTTTTTCTTCCAGACTTCTTGGGTAGTCTGTTTGCCCCAGTTGCTCTCATTGCTTTAGGGAGCAGAGACTAAAGCACTTTCCTGTAAGTGTTTTCAGCAAACACTACCCAGGAGCAGCTTTAGCACAAGGTGAGTTACAGTTAAAGGCGAAATAAAGACAAGCTTCTTTTTTTTTTTTTTTTTTTCGAGTCAGAGTCTGGCTCTCTCACCCAGGCTGGAGTGCAATGGTGCAGCCTCTGCCTCCTAGGTTCAAGCAATTCTCCTGCCTCAGCCTTGCAAGTAGCTGGGATTATAGGCACCTGTCACCATGCCCAGCTGATTTTTGTGTTTTTAGTAGAGGTGGGGTTTCACTTTGTTGGTCAGGCTGGTCTGGAACCCCTGACCACAGGTGATCCACCCACCTTGGCCTCCCAAAGTGTTGAGATTACAGATGTGAGCCACCTCACCCGGCCAAGACAAGCCTTTTGATTGGGTTACTTTGGGGGTTCAGATTGGCTTAAGATAGTTTGTAAATGAGGTTTATTTTGCTCCCACCTGAACCTATACCTGAAATATGTACTGTTAATTTTCAAGGCTGCCACTGAGAGGAGCAGGGGATGTGAACAGGGTAAGTTACAATGCCAGAAAGCTCACTGTTCTCACTGAGTTTCACTTGTTTTGAATAAGTTGCAAGCTTTTAGTTAGTTTACAATATTCTGAAAAAGTTGATTCTGACAGTTTTTGGCAGATTTTTAAAACTGCTTTTGTGGAGTAATGGACTTCTGGAGTTCTTTTCTCTGCCATTTTCACTGACATCACTCCTTGATTCAGTATCTTTCAGTTTTGAAGTATTTTCTGTCTTTGAAGTTTAAGAGCTTAATTCAGATTTGTTGAGTTGAATATCTTGTATTAATTTTCCTGGAACTAGTTTGTTTTTTCAGTGCTGCACAGTTGTGGTATAGATGTGTGTTTTTATAGTTTCTTGAAGTAAGAATTATTACAAATACTTTTGTAATTTGGGTTGGGTTTTTCAAACATATCTGCTGATCTTGCTCAGGCTTATTCATCCAGCTTATTCATTATACATCAAATGACTACATGTGGCTGGTGGTTTAAAATGTTTTTACTCCCATGTTTGGAGTCTTGGTACTGGCTGTTAGCTGAGCCTTTCTGTCTGCATCATTCAGCTAGGCTGAGCATCTTTACATGCCATAGGAACGTTCTAAAACTGAAAGTTGCAAGGCATCTCAAGACCTTGGCCATCTTCTAATTGCTGCTGTAGCTTTTCAACCACAAGTCAGGCCTTTTTCTTTCTCACGTTTTAATCATCTTGCTTTTCCTCTCGTATTTTCATCTTTGGTTGTTTCTTCTTTCAGTGGTATTTTGGTAAAATACAGTAAGTTTTGTTGCTATGAGTTCATATACACTCAATCCCTGGGAGCTACACTTCTGTTGATAGATAGGTGGGGATACACATACCCATTGGGAGAAGAGAGACTCTGGAATGAGTGAGATTATCAGCATACTTAATACTACTCCTGTTATGCAAGTAGCCTGTAAATTAAAAAAAAAATTTTAATTGATACAACAATTATATGTATTCATGGGGTACATATGATGTTTTGATTCATATAATGTATAGTGATCAGATCAGGATAATTAGCATATTCATAATCTCAAACATTAATAGTTTCTTTGTGATGGAAATGTTCAATATCCTTCTAGCTGTTTGAAACTCGATTATTGTTAAGTATAGTCATCCTACAGTGGTCTAGAACTTACTCCTATCTAGCTGTAATTTTGTATTCTTTCACTAATCTCTGTCTTTCCCTTCCCTCTATCCTTCCTAGACTTTAGTATCCTCTGTACTGCTTTCTACTTCTATGATATCAACTGTTTTTTTTTGTTTCCACAGAACATGTGATGTTTAATTTTCTGTTCCCGGTTTATTTCAGTTAGCATAATGTCCTCCAGTTCCACCCATGTTGCTGCAGATGACAGGACTTTATTACTTTATATGGCTGAGTAGTATTTCATTGTGTATATATATATATCATATTATCTTCATCTGTTTGCTTGGCTTTTTGTTTTGTTTTTCTGGAGACAGTATTTCGCTCTGTCGCCCATGCTGGAGTGCAGTGGCTCAATCATACCTCACTGCAGCTTCAACCTCCTGGGCTCAAGTGATCCTTCTACCTCAGCCTCCCTGAGTAGCTGGGCCTACAGCCATGCACCACCATGCTTGGCTAATTTTTTTGGAATTTTAGTAGAGATGAGATATTGATATGTTGCCCAGTCTGGTCTTGAACTCCTGTGCTCACGGATCTTCCTGCTTTGACCTCCTAGAGTACTGGAATATAAGCATGAGCCACGGTGCCTGGCCTATTCTCATCTGTTTTTGGGTACCTAGGCCGATTCTGTATCTTGGCTGTTGTGAATAACGCTGTAGGGATGCAAATGTCTCTTCCGTATAATTTCCTTTCCTTTGGATAACATCTCAATAGTGGGATTGCTGGATCTTACAGGTAGTTTTATTTGTAGATTTGGAAGAACTTCTATTCTGTTCTTCATAGTGGGTATACTATATGGCTTAACCTTATTTTTGTTGCTTTAGGTTACTGTATCAACAACTGATAGGAGAAACAATAAACTCATTTTCAAAGTGAATTTGTTAGAAATGGATGATAAGATACTGGTTGACTTCCGGCTTTCTAAGGTAATTTTATGTTTTATTATAGTATTTTTTCTATGGAAATATTTCTTTGTGACTTTTTAAATGCCATTATGTTTGTATATATATGGCATTTGTAAATAGAATGTAATTTTTTCATTTAATATTATGAGCATGTGCTTTTGTTAATCTGTTTTTCCCAAACATTGTTTTTTCAACTGACATTTTCCTTATTATAAAAGTTTTTGCCAGGCACGGTGGCTCACACCTGTAATCTCAGTACTTTGGAAGGCCAAGGCAGGTAGATCACAAGGTCAGGAGTTTGAGACCAGCCTGGCCAACATAGTAAAACTAAAAATACAAAAAATTAGCCAGGCGTGGTGGTGGGTGCCTGTAATCCCAGCTACTCGGGAGACTGAGGCAGAAGAATCGCTTGTACCTGGGAGTTGGAAGTTGCAGTGAACCGAGATTGCACTATTGGACTCCAGCCTGGGCAACAGTGTGACACTTTATCTCAAAAAAGAAAAGAAAAATAAACAAAGTTTATGTTTTTGTGAAAAATGTAGATAAGCAAAAAATGGTAAAATAAGAATAATTCTAAATTTTTCTGCCCAGCAGTAATCACCTTTAAGATTTTGAAGCATTTTAATATTTTTCTTAATTTATCTTTTAATAAAAATTATGATTCGTTAAAAAATATTTCATTATATAATGAACCTTTACCTGTTAATGTTGATACATTATGCATAGTTTTTGTTCATATTTGTGATTTCTTTAGAAATTATTGATTTTAAAGTTGTAGTTTTATAGCCCTTAATATATAAATCCAAAACAACATTTTTCACCATGTTCCAAGAGATTGTATGTGTCTCTAAAAAGGGTTGGAGGGGTAGCTGCTGTGTTAGAGCATTTGCTGCAATACTCCTTGTATTAGAGATTTGCTGCAATACTGTTTTAGATACTTACTATGGAATTAAATTATTAAGATCGTGGTATAATGAAATTCTTCTCATAACTAAATCTGTTGATTTTATTGCAATAGTGTTATGACAAGACTTCAGTTTAGTTGTAGAGCTTATTGTTAGTTTCCAAACCCTACTGCCTGTGCAACGTAATGACTTAGGTCCAGGTATACCAACACATGAAACAGAGAGGATGCCATTTTATCTGCTCTCTGAGCTCAGTGCGATAGGAACAATGATGGGCATGAAACTACATCAGAATTATTTGTGTAACTATTTTCTCTGCCAGAATATTTGGTCTTCATAAATGGGCCTAAACGGAAATTGTAGCTAGACATGTATCTAAGGATGTTTGTCTCTTATTACCACTAAAAAGAGATTGATTTTAGGGCATAATCTTGTTTTTGTTTTGATTTTGACATTATTTTTGAAAACTATTTCTAATATAGGGTGATGGATTGGAATTCAAGAGACACTTCCTGAAGATTAAAGGGAAGCTGATTGATATTGTGAGCAGCCAGAAGGTTTGGCTTCCTGCCACATGATCCGACATTGGCTCTGGGGAATCCTGGTGAATATAGTGCTGCTATGTTGACATTATTCTTCCTAGAGAAGATTAACCTATTCTGCAAACTGCAAACAATAGTTCCTGAAGTATTCACTTCCCTCTTTATCCAAACATCTTCCAATTCATTTTGTTTATTCTACATACAAATAATACCTATATCTTAATTGTAAGGAAAACTTTGGGGAAAGGATGAATAGAATTCATTAGATTATTTCTTCTTGTGTATTTAGTATCTGAATTTGAAATTCATCTGGTGGAAACCAAGTTTCAGGGAACATGAGTTTTCCAGCTTTTATATACACATTTCCCATTTTTATCAAAACATTTTGTTTAATCCAAAAAGTACATATTTCTTCCATGTTGACTTAATTATAAAATGAACCAATAAAGATATAAGCCTTGTGATTTTTGGACAGTAGATTTATCACTCTGTGAATCGAGGCTAGCTTCAAAACATATATCCCCAAGTTTTGTACTTACATTTTCAGAAGGGCCTGGCCAGTTATATATACCTGTTTTCGAATTATAATGATTAATTAAAATTACAAGTAGGTGTGTTTTCCAGCATAGTTAGTAAAATACTGGTTGGCCTTTTAAGGAGAAGTGGAGCATAACTTAGTGCTTAACCAACTTTACTCTAAAAATTACTGTTGAACATCTTAAATATTTTTCTATATTTTCTGCTTTCACAGCCATACTTTATTTAATTTTTTGAACTTACTCGTGACCAAGCTTTTAGGTGATAAAGAATAAAAGAGGGAAGGGAAGAGTAAGAAAGCTATAAGAAAAATAGATCTGATTCATTATTCCTTTACCTATGACTTACAAAACCTTTGTTTTTCTAATAAAATTTGTATTAACTTTGAAGCATATTAGGTTGAGGCCTTGGCTCCTGCCTGTAGTCCCAGCTACTTAGGAGGCTGAGAGAGGAGGATTGCAGGAGCCTAGAAATTTGAGGCTGTAGTGAGCTATGATTGCATCACAACAGTCCAGCTTGGATGACAAAGTGAGACCCTGCCTCTAATAGAAATTTTTAAAATTGTAAAAAAGTATAAAATTAATTAGTTATTTAAATCTGAAGCCAAGAACATGTAGAATGTTATGATTAGAGTTTATCTCATGTTAATGTGTACTGGCAAATTGTGTTACTGGAGTATACCCATAGCAGGAATAAATTTGAACCTGTTTTATTTATTTGAACCTACTTAGGGTCTGCCTAAGAATTGAGTCTATATAAATTCTCAAATATGGGAGAAATTTTATTCTTGAGAATTATCTGTGAGTCATTTGTATCTTTCAAAAACAGGCTGGGCGCAGAGGCTCATGCCTGTAATCCCAGCACTTTGGAAGGCCAAGGTGGGTGGATCATGAGATCAAGAGATCAAGACCATCCTGGCCAACATGGTGAAACCCCGTCTCTACTGAAAAAAAATAGAAAAATTAGCTGGGCTTGGTGGCGTGCACCTGTAGTCCCACCTACTTGGGAGGCTAAGGCAGGAGAATTTCTTGAACCCAGGAGGCAGAGATTGCAGTGAGCTGAGATCGTGCCACTGCACTCCAGCCTGGCGACAGAACTAGACTCTTGTCTCAAAAAACAAACAAACAAACAAAACCAGCTCTCACTGACTTGAACTTCTTCTCTGAGCTCTAGTCTTTTACCTACTTTACATTTCCACTTGAACATCCAGTAGGCATCTCATGACCAAAAATAGCTTTTGATTCCTGTTCTCCAACTTGTTCCTCTCCTAGTTTTCTCTGTCAGAAATGTTATTTCACTCCTCAGTTCCTTAAGCCAAAACCCTAGGTCATTCTTCACTTTTTCCCCCCATATTCTACATTCAATTCAGCAGATCCTATTCAATTTAACAAATCCATTCAAAGTATGTCCCACTTCACACCTCTGCTAGTACCACTCCTGTTGAAGGCACTATCATCATCTCTCTGTTTGTATTATCCCTCAGAAGTTTATTTTCTAGAAAAGCTGTCAGAATGATCCTTTTAAAATGTGAATCAGATATCCTTGTCCTGTTCTCAATTCACATGGCTTTTTAACACACTTAAAATAAAATTCAAAACTCAATGTATAAGCTATACAGCTTTATGTGATCTATCTCCTGGCCACTTCTTTGGCTTCATGTGCCACTCCACTCTTTGTTCATTCTGCTCTAGCCACATTGGCTTTGCTCTTCTCACAAGAAGATAAGCACATTGCCACCTCAGCGTCTTTTCACTTGCAGTTGCCTGTACCTATAATACTTTACTCCCAAATATTTGTGTGGCTTGTGCTTCACTGTAGGTGTCTGCTTAAATGTCACTTTTTCTGCAAAGTCTTTCCCTGGCTTATCTAAAATAACCACCTCTGTCTCTTTCCTTTAGCTTTCATCATAATGCTTCTTACCTGACTTTATAGGATATTTTTATCTATTAAATTTGAGCTTCTCATATTAGGATATGTAATATATAAGTTCCTTGAGATCAGGGACCCTTTCTGTCCTATTCAGTTTCATATACCCAGCACCTAGAACTGTGCCTGATAACATTACAGTATAGAATAAATAGCTGTTCAACAAATTAGCACTCAGTTGATCTGATCTATCCTCAGCATATATGTGGAAAACCGTCCATGTCTGTTTTGATTGTTGCCCACTCCTGTTCACCCTCCTTAATCTCCTCCCTGGATTTCTGTAATAACAGCTAGTCTTCCTCCTTTCACTTTTACCATTGCCAACTCCCTTCTGACGCAGTCTTTTCTTTATATACCCCTAAATTTTTTAAAAATATAAATTGTACTATGGCCCTCCCTTTCTTAAAAACTTAAAATTAAAATAGCTTCCTATTGCATCTAGGCTGGGAATCTAAACTTTTTGCTATGACTTGCCTGGCCCTCCATAATTCACCCTCTGTCCTTTTTGCACATAGGATTCCAGCAGCGTTGCCTGCTTTCTGTCCACTAAGGCACATTTCCCTTCCAGGACCTTGGTGCTTACGGGTCCCTGTGCATGGAACCCCTTCAGTAGTTTGCATGGCTGACTGAACATTCAAATCTCAACCCAAGTGTTTCTACTACCCTGAGTCATTGTCACTTTATTCTATTTTCTTCATAGAATTTGATCACTGTCTGAAATTATTTATTGCCTGTCTCCCCAACCAAAATGTAAGCTTAGACTTTGACTTTGCCATTCCTTTTCACCCTTGTATAACTCATATGAAAACAGTACCTGGAATATGATAGGTACTAAATAAATGTTTGTTAAATAAATGATTGAATGTTGAATAAATGAATAAATTAATTGAATATCACATGAGGCAGATACCACAGAATATTGTAAGGGAAAGATGAATAGATGGATAGTAAACTGTTTGCTGTGGGAATTTGCATAGAATGGTGGGAAATCTTCAAGTTTCAGATTTGGACTAGCTTGACATTTATTTATCTGAACACTGGCAATTACCTCAGTAAAGTGACTGATAATAAGTACCTTTTAGACTTATTTTAATCTTTAACGTGTTAATGTATAAGAAGAGTATAGTGTCATGTTTTGCACAGAAAGACATTCTGTAAATATAAGGTGCCTTAATTTTCCTGTCATGTTCATTATACTGTTGTGAGAAGGTATTTACTCCTATTATTAAAAATAAAAATGAATACAAAAGAATTTACTACCTGAAGTTAACAGTTCAAATTTTGTTGGAAAAATCAACCTGTTCCTGTGTGTGCGTGTGTGTTTAGTGTGTGTGTGTGTGTGTGTGTTTGTGTGTGTAGTGTGTATAGTGTGTGTGGTTGTTGAGATAAGCATAATTAAAATACATGAAATATGCACAGTTTAACATGCAGTTGTAAAGTTAACATTCACTTAACCACAACTGAGTAGAAAGATCATTTATAGACCCTTAAAAATTTCCTATATATGATCTCCCAGTCACAACCTACTTTCTTCCCCCAGAGATAATCCCAAAATAGAGTTTGGTGATAATCTTTTTCTTGGTGTGTTCTTTTTAATTTTCTTAACTATGTATGCATCTTCAAATATCATTTAGTTTATGTATTTTTAATTGATGTTTTTATTAATGAACTTTATATAAATTTTGCTGTATTTTTCATGTGTTGATTTTTTTATATCCATGCTTTTGTGTGTATTGAGTTCATTAATTTTAATTTTTATATAGGATAGTATTTATGAACATCCCACTATTCTGCTGCTGACTGATATTTGGATTGTGTACAGTTTGATGCTATTATAAAATTCTTCTAAGAACATTCTTGTACATGTTCATTTGTTTCGCTAGCTCCTAGAGTCTAAGGTTTATGCCCAGAAGAGGAATAGCTGGGTATTAGGGTAGAATAATGACAAACTATTATTTTCCAAAGTGATTGTACCAATTAGTATTTCCATAGGAGAAAAGTGTACAGTTCCTGGAAAAACAGTTTTTTTGATCTAAAGTATAAGAATGTTCATAGCAACAGAGTATGTGTTTCTAGTATTCCAAATTTTCACCTGCAGTTGGTGTAGTCAGTCTAAATTGTTTTTGTTTTTGTTGGGTTTTGTTTTTTTTTTTTTTCCTTTGAGAGGGTCTCACTTTGTTGCCCAGGCTGGAGAGCAGTGGTACAAACAGCTCACTGCAGCCTTAGCCTCTTAGGCTCAAGCAGTTCTCCTGCCTTAGCTCCCGAGTAGCTGGGACTAGAGGTGCACGCCACCACACCTGGCTAATTTTTCTATTTTTTATGTAGAGACAGGTTCTGACTATGTTGCCCAGGCTGGTCCAGTCTGTTTTTACAAATTGTTGCTGTGTAATGATATATGTATGGTATTAAATTTGCTTGTTCCTAAGTTTAAATGAGGTTGAGCATTTTATGACATGCCTGTTCTAGTCTTTTGCTTATTGTTCTAATTGCTTTTTCTTTTTCTTAATAATTTCAATTCTTCATATGTTCAGCATACTAGAGTCCTTTATTAATTTACATGTGTTGAATATATATACTCTCCCATTCTATGGCTTATTGTTCCGTTCTTCATGGACGGTTGTAATTTTAATGTCCTATTTAGACCTTTCCTTTGTCTAGTGTTTTATCTTTTGTATTAAAAGTCATTCACTGCTGCAAGATCACGAAAATTTTCTTGTATGTAATCGTCTTAAAAGCTTTATGGCTTTTGCTTTTTTTTTTTTTTTTTTTTTTTTTAAGACAGAGTCTTGTATCACCAAAGCTGGAGTGCAG